TCCTCCTCCCACTCCCCTGTTGCTAAACCTCCATGTGATCTCCATTTCTGTGGTTCTGTTCCTGTTCTAGTTGTTTGCTTAGTTTCTTTTGGTTTTGCTTTAGGTGTGGTTGTTAATAATTGTGAGTTTGCTGTCCTTTTACTATACATTTTTTTTATCTTCTTTTCTTAGATAAGTCCCTTTAACATTTCATATAATAAGGGCTTAGTGATGATGAACTCCTTTAACTTGACCTTATCTGAGAAGTACTTTATCTGCCCTTCCATTCTAAATGAAAGCTTTGCTGGATAGAGTAACCTGGGATATAGGTCCTTGTCTTTCATGACTTGGAATACTTCTTTCCAGCCCCTTCTTGCCTGTAAGATCTCTTTTGAGAAATCAGCTGACAGTCTGATGGGAACTCCTTTGTAGGTTACTGTCCCCTTATCTCTTGCTGCTTCTAGGATTCTCTCCTTCATTTTTACCTTGGCTAATGTAATTATGATGTGCCTTGGTGTGTTTCTTCTTGGGTCCAACTTCTTTGGGGCTCTCTGAGCTTCCTGGATTTCCTGGAAGTCTATTTCCTTTGCCAGAATGGGAAGTTCTCCTTAATTATTTGTTCAAATACGTTTTCAATCTGTTGCTGTACCTCTTCCCCTTCTGGTACCCCTATAATTCAGATGTTGGATCGTTTAAAGATGTCCTGGAGGTTCCTAAGCTTCTCCTAATTTTTTGAATTCTTATTTCTCCATTCTTTCCTGTTTGGTTGTTTTTTCCTTCCTTCTGGTCCATTCTATTGTTTTGAGTCCAGTTTCCTTCCCATCACTATTGGTTCTCTGTGCATTTTCCTTCATTTATTTTATGGTAACCTGCATTTGTTCATGTAATTTGTGCCCAAAATCAACCAATTCTGTGACCTTCCTGATCACCAGTGTTTTGAACTGTGCATCTGATAGATTGGCTATCTCTTGATCGCTTAAAATGATGAGTCCTGGGGCATTGATCTATTCTTCTATTTGAGACAAGTCTCTCTCTCTCGCTCTCTCTTTTTTTTTTTTTTTTGGTCTGGTCGCTCCTATTACGGTGAGGGGCGGAGCCTTAGGTGTTTACCGGGGCTGGCCGCCCAAGTCGCTAGATTGTGACATTGTATGTGGGGGCGGAGACGGGGACGGGGGTGGGAGGGAACAATGGTTGTAGTTCCGTTCTTTGTGGGACCTCAGTCCCTTCTCTGGGATCCTGGGTTGCGTGCTCTGCCCTGGTCCACAATCGCCGGCTCACTGGGTCTGCCAGCTGCCGCTTTTGTACTCAGGGTCCACCTGCTGCGATCTTGAGCGCGCCAGATGCCTTACGCGCTCTCGGTTGCCTTATGCACCCAACTCTCTCTGCTCTCCTCGCCGCGACCCATGCCAACCCGTGCCGCGACCCGCGCCTGGCCGTTCCTCTCCGCTCCTCCTACCAGTCTGGATGAACGGGTCTACTTCAACTTCTTGGCTGTCCGACTTCCATTTAGATAAATTCTATCAGTTCTGGGTGTTATTCTGCCTCTAAATTGTTGTTGTTCTAAATCTTGGTTGTGCATGGAGGTACGGTGCATCCACCTATGCCTCCATCTTGCCGGAAGTGGTAATATATATATTTTAACATTTTTATTTTGAAATAGTTTGTCTTACAGAAAAGTTGCAAAAATAATAAAGAATTCCCTATACAGTGTTTTTAGAAAGATGAGGTAGTTAGAAATGTCCCCCAAGTGCCAATCCTTACATCAGCACAGCACTGTAAGTCAGCACTTCTTGGCAGATAGGCCTAGGGTTCAGTGTGAACTTGGGGAAATCCTCATTCAGACTCTTACGCCTGAGCCTGATCTATGAGATTAGAATGTTAGGGGTGAGCCTGAAAAATCTGCATTTAAAAGCCTCTCCTCAAGGTGGTTCTGGGGCCTCACAATGGCTGAGAACTACTGTTGAATGTTTCCTCCTTTTTATTTTATTTCCTCCAGCAATATTGTGGCTTCCTTACTTGGAAAGCCCAACAAATTTGCAAGGGCTGGGAAAAGTGAGTGAAATTTGAGCATCTTTGTTGCAACTTTTCACACTTTGAGCTACTACTACTATGCTGCAACCAAGCTCTCGGTAATCTGTTTTCTCAAAAGCCTGCTCTCACCCTCACACTGTGGCTCCGAGGGTGGCCAGGTCCAGGATCCTGGTGTGCGTGGCGCCAGTCCTTCTTATCCTTGCCATTTGTACCCTAGAGGTTCCAGGGCATGGCTACTGGAGATGGCCCTGTGTCCTGGCTCCCCTGAGATGGGCAGGGATCCTAACCAGATCCCGGCTGCAGGTCTGCCTGCTGTTTCTTTTGTTTAGCACTGATGCTTTTCCATGGACAGTAGTTTGTTTTCCCTGGGCACTGTGGGTGTGGCCTTTCTCCATGTGTGTTGCCCACTGGCCATTGGCCAGGTCATCTCTGTGGGGGCCACCACAGTGCCGGCCCTCACCTGCCCCCACCATCTCTGCCCTCCACCCTAGCTAGCAGTCTACCTTCCTCTCTGCCCCAGAGGTGCTGTTTCCAAAGAACGCAGATCCGACCATGTCTCCTAATAACTCAGCTTAGTGACTTAATGACTGTGAAAAAAAGAGAAGCCAAACTGTGGAGAAGTTTACATTTAAGATGAAGAAAAGTTTGTCATTGTTTTTAAGTGTTGTTTGGTCCTAACTCTATTATTTTCTGCATTAAGAAAGTAATACCAGCCCTGGCTGGTGTAGCTCAGTGGATTGAGCGTGGGCTGAGAACCAGGCATCGCAGGTTCGATTCCCAGCCAGGGTACATGCCTATGTTGCAGGCCATGGCCCCCAGCAACCTCACATTGATGTTTCTCTCTCTCTCTCTCTCTTTCTCCCTTCCCTCTCTAAAAATAAATAAATAAAATCTAAAAAAAGAGAAAGCAATACCAATATACACCAAGTGTTATAAGCCTGTACTACCTTTGAAATGGAAAAAAATTAAATGCAATAATGGTTAATATAGGCAATTTAGGAAATAAAGAAGTAGAAGGCAGAGGGGGGAGAATTGCCAGTAGTGTGGGTGTGGTAGGCAGTATGGAGAAGGGCATAGGCCCTGAAACGGACAAATCCAAGTTCAGATCCCTTCTTTCCCCCTTATAAGTTGTGGGCAACCATCGGGCAGTTTAATGCTTTTCTTGGAGCATTGGTAAAGGGAGAATAAAAGTAGTTCCTAATTTAGTAGGCTTGCCTGAGGATTAGATGAGGTAAGAATGTAAAGCTGTTAGCAAGATGCTTAGTAAGTGTTAGTTTTTTCTCGTCTTGTTCATTTCCTTAGTCCTTTTCACTATTGGTTGTGTTTTTATTTTTACATAGTTGTGATCACACTGTGTATAATTTTATTTCCTGCTTGTTTTGCTTAACATGGTACCCTAAGCATTTCCCACGCTTTGTTCAACTCCTCGTACCATACATTTTAATGGTTGTATGATATCCAATTGGATGGATATATCAGATACATCAGAATTTCATTAACCATTTCTTTATTGTTGGTCATAGGAATTATTCCAGGTTCATTGTTCCAGATAAACCTATGTATGAATACCTCTACATGTAAATGTCACCCTCCTCCCTGTCACTGTCAGTTACACCCATTTCCTTGGGGAAAATTCTTAAAAGGGAGATTATACAGTCAGAGGGCCTGAACATTTATCAAGGTTTGTGACCTAGCCTGCCAAACTGGCTTCTGTAAAGATGGCCTCCACTTGTATTTTCAAGGCAATGAATGAGACTCAGGCTGAGGGAGCTGGATTTTATTATACAGTGAAGCTGTTGGGGGCATCAGACAGGGCTAGAGGGACACAATCAGATCCAGGTTGTAATGGATTCGCCTGGCAGCCACTGAGAGGGTGAATGCAGGCAAGGTCACTGTTAGGAGGTTACTGTGAGGAGGTTCTGCCCCAGGGCAGCGGTGCCATAACTTGTCCATGAACCTGGCCCTCTCTGCATGGCAACCAGGGGTCCATCTATAGGAAAACCTATGTTCACAGTCTCACAATCCCATTTTCTTCACGAGTTTCTTCACACATGTAAATTTATGCCTTTTCAGACTAATACAAGTTGTTTATAGAGAGAGGAAGGGAGAAAGAGAAAGAACATCAGTGTGAAAGAGAAACATCTATTGGTTGCCTCCTATTTGCACCCCAACCATTGCACCTACAATCTAGGTACATGCCCTGTTGGGGAATCGAACACCCAACTTTTCGGTGTATGGGATGATACTCCAGCCAACTGAGCCACCCAGCCAGGGCCCAACCCCACCACTTTTTATCTGTGATGCTGGGCCTCAGTTTCCCCATCTTGGAAATGGTACCTGCCTCCCAGGATGAAATTAAACAAGGTACTGTAAATACAGCAGAGAAAGTGCTAAGTGTTTGATGTTATTCTTATCCATCTTCCTCTTTTTAAATTAAAGCTCCCTTCTAAAACCTAGCAAGGGCACCAGGATTAGGGAGCAATACCAGAAAGCCCACCTTCCCAAAACATGTGCCCACCTGAAACTATGGGGGCAGTAGGCCAGGGGGCTGAGGAGGCTGCAGTGACCAGTGCCCCACCGTCCCAGCATGTGGTGGTTTCGGTGCCGACACTGGGACAGGCTCTGACATCCTGGGATGGCTGGGCACCGTAGCATGACAATAGTGGGGGACAGGGTCTGGTGAAGTTGTCTGAGGCAGAGAGAACCAGAGTCTGGAGCATTTGAGAGGGTTCACCTTTTCCTTTAATTGTTTGGCAAACCCACTTGGAAACTCATTTCACCTGGAACTTCAGAGCGTTATTGGCTGCCAGAAACGAGACCCACCTGTGGTGGGGGTGAGGGTGGGGTCGGAGTCGCAGCGTGCCTCCCAGGAAGCGGGCAGGGCACATGAGTATTCTCCAGACACGTTGGGTGGGGGGGGGGGGTGTGAGCGTGCCTTGAGGGGAAGGCTGTGTGGAGTCTGCTCTCAAGAAGCCTTTTTTTCTTGGCAGGAAGAGGAGTCAGTAGCCCTCCATGGACCAGGGTTAGTTTCTGCTTCTGTGCCAGGTACCTTCCCTATTCTCTGGGTGTCTGTGTGTGTAGAACCCCCAAGGCAGAGGGCCGAGGTAGAAGAAACTGACCGCACTTGGGCTGCAGGCCGGTGGGGGGGCGGGGCGCGGTGGTCAGTAGTCAGTGCCTCCTCTTTCAGCCCTTTCAAAGCAGTTTTAAATCGGATTAGATTTTCAACAACACTTGAAGATTTGCTCTCCTCTGAGAGGCTCAAAGGGCTGAGGAAGAACCTGCATCTGTATGCTCTTCCTTTATGTGGAAACCTACTTGGGCTGCTTCTACAACCAGCTTACCTCCCCCACCCCCAGACGCCCCTTCACCACCACCACCACCACCACCACCACCACCACTGGGACCCTGGCCTGTAGTGGCCAAATGACCACTCGTGCCGTCCAGGATCACAGCTTCCCTGGCCCCTCGCTCTGGCCTGTACTGGCCTTGTCAGTTTGCCGGGGGTGGAGAAGTGGTCTGAGAGTGTGCGGCTCTGTGGACTGCATCTCCCTCTTACAGGGCAGCCAACAGAAGGGGTGGCTTTCTTCCTGCGGGTGGGGAACGTCAGAAAGACGGATGCAAAGCTGGGCTTGGTTTTGGAGAGCCGAGGGCTGGCTCTCAGCCCCACCAGGACTCCTCTTCCTCCCTTTTAAATTAAACCTGGGCTCAGGCAATGTATGTGGGGTGGGGAGCTGGGGGGCGGTGAGAGTGGAGACTCGCTGACCGATGTGGGCAAAGACGTCTGCGCAGGGAGAACCAACTGGAGGCGGGGCGTTGTGGAGGTGTGGAAGGGAGGGAGGGCAGATGGTCGAGGTGGGCTTCTGTGCTTTTTGTATATTAGTGTATTATATAATTAACAAGTTAAACGTGCATATTAAACAAACCAGAGAATTATTCCTTCTGATTGGTAGGATCACTGTTAAGTGAAGAACAGGATCAAGCCTTGAAAGATTCAGGAGTGGCTTTCCAGAGGGGGTGAGAGAGAAGCAGGGGTAGCTAGGGGCATTCATTCAACAAACATTTGTTGAGCATCTGCTGTGTGTCGGATTCTGTTCTAGAAGCCAGCAAGCTAGCGGAGAGCAAGCACAGAGGCCTGTCCTCACGGAGCTTACAGTCCAAAGGAGGGACACAGGTGAGCACAGAGATCATGCGCTGTCAGCCGGCATGAATGACAAATGATTCTGCCCCTTATTAAAATGGTAAGAAGACTGTGTTCAAGACTACTGCAATAAAAGATTGTAAAAATAATCTTTTTTAGGAAAAAATTAAGGTCACTCTGAACACCGCAAAGACAGCTGGGGATCGCTAACCCATGGAGGGAAGGGGCCAGTGGGTGGAGACAGCAAGGCTAGGTGGGGTCTTGTTGAACCAATGTAACCGGGTTCTTGCCAAAGGCAGGCCAAGGACTTGCCATCAAAGATGGGGGATGAGGAACTTGATCAGATATCAAGGGTAGGGGACCACTTAGCAGGACTCTCTGCCGGAGACAAGCCGCAGTCAAGGCCTTGTTGAGAAGAGGGTTCAGATGAGCCTGGCTAGAGACTGGTAAGGAGACAGGCTTCGGTGGTGGTAGAAGGTGCTGTGGGTGAAAATGAAGCAGGTGTGGGTGGAACAGCTAGAGAGTGATTGAGTGATGAGGGTGCTTTTTTGTTAGTGTTAGCAAGGCCTCTGCAGGGAGGTAGCTTTGGGCAGAAATCTAGATCACATGAGGGAGCCAGACTTTCACACACCTGGGAGAAGGGGTTCCATGTAGAGCGAACAGCAGGTGCAAAGGCCCCGAGGGGGTGTTTGGTAGGTTTCAGCAACAGCAAGGAGGCAGTGGGTTGTGGGGGAAGAGTGGCAGGAAAGAAGGTCAGACGAGGGTGAGCGAGGGAGGGTAGGTCATACAGGGTCCTGTGGGATGTGATAAGAGGGGTGAGAGGGCTAGAAGAAAGGGTAATTTGGACCCACAGTAGGAGAGAGCTTTGTCCATCTAGAGGACCACATGGGGAATCTGTGTTGTGGGGGGTGTAAGGAAGCAGCATCTGATTGGTCAGAGCATCCTCTCATAGAACAAAAGGTAGTGGGTTTGATCCCAGTTAGGGCATGTATGGGAGGCAACCCATCGATGTCTCTCTCTCCCTCTCTCTCCCTCTCTCTCCCTCTCTCTCCCTCTCTCTCCCTCTCTCTCCCTCTCTCTCCCTCTCTCTCCCTCTCTCTCCCTCTCTCTCCCTCTCTCCCCCTCTCTCCCCCTCTCTCTCCCCCTCTCTCCCCCTCTCTCCCCCCTCCGCCCCTCTCCCCGCCTTTCTAAAATCAATAAATGTCCTCAGGTAAGGATTATAAAAAGAAGAAGGAGGAGGAGAAGGAGAAAAATGTGTGAAGGAACAAGCTTGGGGGGCCAAGGAGGGGGAGGTGGCTAAGGGACAGAAGACAGGAAGATTAAGAGCCAAAGGAGCAGGTTCTTTTCCATATTTGCAGTCAGGGTTTCTCAATCATTTTAACAAGAATCTCCGTCCTTGCGTAAAAATCAAGCAATAAAGGGAGGAATGTCTCTTCATTTAACTTGAAGAACTACAGGACGGAAAGGAGGGCTGGCTGAAGTAAAGTTGGAGCTGGTCTAGCTTGGCCAGTTGCCCTTCCTATAAATACCCCCTCCCAGTCCTGGAGAGGTATCAGTTACAGCTATTACTAGCTACCGGGAAACATCCTTCCTGTTCAGATGTCCAGCAGTTGGCTGCTTGTGTACATCCGTGTGCAAAGTGCCTGGAAGCAGGGGGTGAAAGCACAGAATAAATAAGAAGTTTGGGATTCTGAGCCCACTCCTTCTACCTTTGGGGGTGGCCCCACTTCCTCTGGGGGCCTAGGGATCCCTCTGGCGTGTCTTATGCTAAGAAATCTGCAAAAGTCATTGGCCATGTTTAGAACTAATCCTTTGTGCCAAAGGGGTTGGTGGCGTGGAGGGGAGGGAGCTCCTTGCCAAAACCAGGATGTTCCTCACTAGTGGCGAACACTGCTGCCTCCTGGCTGCATAGCACTGGGGGGTTTCGGGGGACTGGTGAGGGAATGAGATTGGGGGGGGCAGTGTAATTCCACAACATGTGAGTTAAAAAGCAGATGAAAACCCACAGAGTAACCAGACATTCTTCTCTTTGCATGCAAGATCCTGCTGGATGTTGGAAGAGGAAGGCATATTTTTCTTGCTTTTTAGACATTACATCCTGTGAAAGGAAGATTTGGAACAGATGGGGGCCAGGGCGGCCTCACTGTATTTGCTCGTTTCCCCCTCCCCCTTTCCATAACCAGAAATGTTTCATTTTTTCCCCTAGTGAAGTTAATTTTTAAGAAAGAAAGAAAAAGAAAGGAAAAAAAGTCCAGTAGAGTAGGAAGTAAGATATCAGAGGTCAGGGAGAGAAATCCATAAAGTTCCAGAAAGAATCTGCTTTTCGTGGCAAAGGCTGCTTCTAAGCCCAAAGACAATTTAAACTTTTCATTGTAGGTGTACTCACTGCTCCAGTGACATCTGCATTAGTGAGGGGGCGGGGGAAGAAAGAGGATGCCCTCGCAGATGGAGAAGGAGGCCCTCTCATCAGTGGAAGGTAAGGTGTGTTTCTCAAATCCTGGGTTGCATGTGGGAGAAAGAAAACTGGTAACATCTCCTGAGAGCTCTTCAAGCATTGGCATGATTTGAACCCCCACTCCCGTTCTGTCCCATTGGTTGCATTAGAGGAGAGTACAAGAGTGCTGATGTAAAGTGGGCCATGGCGTCTTTCATTGGCTGCGGCTGGGCCCAGGACAGCTAGTATGGTGTTAGCTCAAGACCACAGCCAGTGCTATTGGCTGAGGAATGTCCAGAGCACACCTCTTCCCCTGAACCTGGACGGGGTTGAGGTCGGGGGTGGGTAGTTGCGGGGAGGGTTGCTTTGTCAGTGCTGTCGGATGGCAGTAATTAGCCGGGTAGGCCAGCCGAAGTACCCACCGCTACTGTTTTATCTCTTTCCCAAAGTGTGGGTAAAAAGGACAGGGCAGGAGAAGAGAGAGAGTCTCTGTTTTCCTTCCAACTACCTTTCCTTTGTGGCTTGTGGAGCCTCTGTTGGGGTGGTCTCTTCCATCTTGGGAGGGGACTATGTGCTCCCAGGTCTGGCCCAAGAGACAAATTACCAGAATCTGTCTCTGGCCTATTTTGGTCCTGCTGCCAGCTGGCTGGCTCTGGCAAGCTGTTTCCAGAGAGTGTTCTGGAACATCGGTTTGCTAAGACCAGAGCAACAAGCTGACCTGGGGAAAGAAGAGAAATGTGTTCATGGTGTGTGCTCAGAGCTTCGGGAAATCAGCCTCTCCTCGTCCCGTGGGGCACGTGTGTGCTTCTGCAAGAAAGACAAAGTTTAAAAGTCACTTGGCAGGAGAAAAGTAGGACTCGTGTGTCCAGCTAGGATTGGATCTCCCATCTTGATTCTTCCCTCGTCACTTGCGGATCTCGGCGTTTTAACTAGACACAGTGCAGTGGGAGCACCAAGCCTCCCTCTCTCTCTGTTAAAGCCCCACAGCATTATCTGGCTGTCGGAAAGGATGCTAAGAGAGCAGCGGACACTGCCCGAGTACCATTACCTACTGGGCACTGCAGTTAGGACTTAGGGGGCATGTCAGTGAAGAAAATACAGAATCCACTCCCACAGAACCCAAATGCAAATATAAGAGCTGTTCACTCGTAGTGGAATCTCCAGGGTCAGGCAAGCACACACATGGTATCAAATCAGTTCCTTCAGCAAACGTTCCCTGAACATTCACTATCTGTGAGACCCTATGGACACAGTGGAGAGCAGCACAGACGTACACCCCATGCTCTCGGAAGTGCAGTCTGGTTGGGGAGGTGCACTAGAAAAGACTCTTGGACTCCACACTGTGGGAAGCACCAGCAGAGGACATAAAGGGTGCCGTGGGCCCTGCATGCAGACTTGGGGAACTGAGAGCACCTTCCCAGAGAAGTGATGTTTAAGTTAATACCTGAATAAAAACTAATGTTTGAATGTGGACTCTCAGTCAGCCCGGTGGGGTCCGCTGGTCCTGGCTTCAGTTTTATTTGCATTCTCTTCCACGCTGCACAGGGCTCTGTTGGGGCGGTGAATGATGCAGCCCCTTCCTGTGCTCCGAGAGCTCCATCACTAGAAAGCGCTCCAGGACTTCCGGCCAAGATGGAGGCGTAGGTAGACACACTATGCCTCCTCGTACAACCAAAATAAGGACAACAATAATTTAGAAACAAAAAACAACCAGAACTAACAGGAAATTAAATGGTATGGAAGCCTGATAACCAAGGAGTTAAAGAAGAAACATTCATCCAGACCAGTAGGAGGTGCAGAATTGGGTGGCTGGGTGGAGAGGGTTCACGGCAAAGCGGTGGCTGGGGGACACCGGGCACAGTGTGGCAGCAGGCAGACCCAGCGAGGTGGCAGATTGTGGAGGGGTGAGGCACACAAGGTGGCTGGTGGACCGGGAGGCCCCACATTCCCGTGCAGATAAACCAGGCAAAACGGGGGAGTGAGACAGGCCGAGCAACCCAGGGTTCCCATGCAGGGAAATAAAGCCTCAAAGCCTCTGACTGGAAACACCTGTGGGGGTTGAGGCGGCAGTGGGAGAAACTCCCAGCCTCACAGGAGAGTTTATTGGAGAGACCCACAGGGTCCTAGAACGTACACAGGTCCACCCACATGGGAATCAGCACCAGAAGGGCCCAGTTTGCTTGTGGGAAGCCGGGGAAGTGACTGAAATCCAGAGAGCAGAGCAAGCAGCATTGTTTCCTCTCGGACCCCTCCCCCACATACAACATCACAACCCAGTGACTGGGTTGCCCTGCCCTGGTGAACACCTAAGGCTCTGCCCCTCACTACATAACAGGCACTGAGGGGAAAAAATGGCCCAAATGAAAGAATAGATCAAAGCTCCAGAAAAAATACAACTAAGTGACGAAGAGATAGCCAACCTATCAGATGCACAGTTCAAAACACTGGTAATCAGGATGCTCACAGAATTGGTTGTATTTGGTCACAAATTAGATGAAAAAATGAAGGCTATGCTAAGTGAAATAAGGAAAATGTACAGGGAACTAATAGTGATGGGAAGGAAACTATAACTCAAATCAATGGAGTGGACCAGAAGGAAGAAAGAAACATCTAATCAGAAAAGAAGAAGCAGGAATTCAAAAACATGAGGAGAAGCTTAGGAACCTCCAGGACATCTTTAAACATTCCAACATTCGAATTATAGGGATACCAGAAGGAGAAGAGGAAGAACAACAAATGGAAAAGTTATTTGAACAAATAATAAAGGAGAACTTCCCCAATCTGGCAAAGAAAATAGACTTCCAGAAAGTCCAGGAAGCTCAGAGAGTCCCAAAGAAGTTGGACCCAAGGAGGAACACACCAAGCAAGGCACATCAGAACTACATTACCCAAGATGAAAGATAAGGAGAGAATCTTAAAAGCAGCAAGAGAAAAGGAGACAGTTACCTATAAAAGAGTTCCCATCAGACTGTCAGCTGATTTCTCAGAAGAGAACTTACAGGCAAGAAGGGGCTGAAAAGAAGTATTCCAAGTCATGAAAGGCAAAGACCTACATCCAAGGTGGCTCTATCCAGCAAAGCTTTCATTTAGAATGGAAGGGCAGATAAAGTACTTCACAGGTAAGGTCACATTAAAGGAGTTCATCATCACCAAGCCCTTATTATATGAAATGTTAAAAGGATTTGTCTAAGAAAAAGAAGATAAAAAACATGTGCAGTAAAATGACAGCAAACTCACAGTTATTAACAACCACACCTAAAACAAAACCAAAAACAAATTAAGCAAAGAACTAGAACAGGAACAGAACCACAGACATGGAGATCCCATGGAGGGTTATCAGCAGGAGAGTGGGAGGAGGAGAGAGAGGGGAAAGGTACAGAGAATAAGTATCATAGATGGTAGGTAGAAAATAGATGAGGGGAGGGTAAGAATAGTTGGGAAATGTAGAAGCCAAAGAACTTATAAGTATGACCCATGGACATGAACTAAAGCGGGGGAATGTGGGTGGGAGGTGGGCAGGGTGGAGAGGAGTGAAGGGGGGAAAATGGGACAACTGTAATAACATAATCAATAAAATATATTTAAAAAAATTAAGTGGTCCAGTAAGTGCTCAAAACTGAGCAATTTGCTAATCACTTGACTTATCTAATCCTTGTAACATCCCTGAGGTGGGTCATAGTTTATTAGTTAGGAATGCTTTTGGCCACAAGCAACAGAAACCCCAGCTAATGGTGGCTTTGATTAGAATGTCATTTCTTGCTGACTGAACAAGAAATATGGGGCTGGTGGTCCTATGGTTGGCAGTGCCACCAACGACATGGAGATCTCACAGTCTTTCTCCCTGCTCTACCATCGGGGCCAGCTGTATAATTTGTGAGGCCCACTACAAAATGAAAATATGGGACCTTTTGTTCAAAAAGCAGGAGAAAGTGTCACTTAAGGCACTAACACATAAAACTTGTTAAAAAATATTTTATTGAGTGCTTGCTTTGGCAGCACATATACTAAAATTGTAATGATACAGAGAAGATTAGCATGGCCCCTGCGCAAGGATGACACGCAAATTCATGAAGTGTTCCATATTTTTAGCCATCAGAGAGATGCAAATTAAAACCACAGTGAGATACCACTTCACACCAGTCAGAATGGCCATCATAAACAAAGCAACAAACAACAAGTGTTGGAGAGGTTGTGGAGAAAAGGGGACCCTAGTGCACTGTTGGTGAGACTGCAGACTGGTACAACCACTATGGAAAGCAGTATGGAACTTCCTCAGAAAACTAAAATTGGATCTGCCTTTCAGCGCAGCAATTCCACTGTTGGGACTATATCCTAAGAACACTAAAACACCAATACAAAAGAACCTTTGCACTCTGATGTTCATAGCAGCACAATTTACAATAGCCAAGTGCTGGAAGCAACCTAGATGCCCATCAGTAAATGAATGGATCAAAAAACTATGGTACATTGACACAAAGGAATTCTATGCAGCAGAAAGAAAGAAGGAGCTCCTACCCTTTGCAACAGCTTGGATGGAGCTGGAAAGCATTATGCTAAGCGAAATAAGCCAGGCAGTGAAAGACAAATACCATATGATCTCACCTTTAACAGGAACCTATACAACAAAACAAAGAAACTAGCGAAATATAACCAAAGACACTGAAATAGAGGACAGGCTGACAGTGACCAGAGGGGAGAGAAGAGGGAATTTCAGGGGAGAATGGGAAGGGTTTACAGGAACAACTTTAAAGGACACATGGACAAAAACTAGGGGGAGGGTGGTAATGGGAGGGTTGGGTGGGTGAGCTGGATTGGGAGTAAAAGGGAGAAAACTGTACTTGAATAATGATTAAAATAAAAAAAACATTTTATTGATTATGCTATTACAGTGTCCCAATATTTCCTCCTTTGCCCCCCTCTACCCGGTACCCCCGTTCCCTCCAGCACTCCTCCCATTAGGTCATGTCCATGGGTCATGCATATAAATTCTTTGGCTTCTCCATTTCCTATACTATTTCTTAACATCCCCGTATCTATTTTGTACCCACCATTTATGCTTCTTATTCTCTGTACCTTTTC